AGGCCAGCCTCCTCCCTCCGCTGTCCACGTGGCAGACATCCGAGGACGTCGCGCAGAAGATCATGTACTCGATCGAGTGCGAGATGAGGCGGTGTCCGTACACGCTAGGCCTGGGCGAGCCGAACCTCGCTGGGAAGCCGAACCTCGACTACGACGCCGTTTGCAAGCCGGGCCAGCTCCATTCCTCCTCCCTGAAGCGGAATCCGTACGACCAGCAAATCGAGAACCAAGAGAACCAGGCCCTGTACACGGCGCACCAGATCTTGGAATCGTGGATCCAGGTAGCCAAACAGGTGATTGGTCGACTCACCGAGCGAATCGCGGCGGAGGAATTCGAATCGGCGGCGAACGATTGCTACTTCTTGGAACAGATCTGGAAGCTTCTCGCCGAAATCGAAGATCTCCACCTGCTAATGGACCCGGACGACTTCCTGAAACTGAAGAACCAGCTCTCGATTCGATCGGCGGCGGAGACGGAGCCGTTCTGCTTCCGGTCGAGGTCGCTGGTGGAGATCACGAGGTCGTGCAAGGAGCTGAAGCACAAGGTGCCGGAGATTCTGGGCGTGGAGGTGGACCCGAAGGGCGGGCCGAGGATTCAGGAGGCGGCGATGCGGCTGTACAGGGAGAAGTCCGATTTCGAGAAGATTCACCTGCTGCAGGCTTTGCAGGCGGTGGAGGCGGCGCTGAAGAAATTCTTCTACGCGTACAAGCAGGTGCTGGTGGCGGTGATGGGGAGCTTGGAGGCGAAGGGGAACGCGGCTGGGGCGGCGGTGGTGGTGGCGAGCTCCGAGTCGTGCGACTCGTTGACTCGGTTGTTCTTGGAGCCGACGTATTTCCCCAGCTTGGACGCTGCCAAGACGTTTCTAGGGAAGTTCCACGAAAGGCGGAATACGAGGCAGTAAAACAGTAAAAAAAAAAAAAAACTAATCATCGGGGAATTTCTAGCTGAGTCAATTTTTTGTTCCCCCAAACGTTATATGTAAAATTCTTTTTGTTTTTCCTCCCTTTTTCGTTGACTGGTTTATATGTAAACAAATATATGTTTATTTGTTGTATAATTTAATTGCAATTCCTACTCTTACGAAATAGATCCATCAATCCATCCACGATTACTTCCCACAGACAGCAAAAGAACAAATAGGGTGGGAATTATTTATTAATTATATTAGGTGATTAAGAGAACACGATTAGAGACAGTTGATTCTTCTCCCTGACAGGCTAGATAATCATCATTAATTAATTAATATTATTAGTGCGTTGAAAATGTGTCTCGTGGACCATGACGACAATATGAAAAGGTTACTCTACGGGTTCCAAGTTCCAACTCCAACCGGCTGCTTCAACAATTTGGAACAATTTGGGCTCCCACTACTAAATGTCAAACAATTCTAAATTAGTACCCAGTTTGGGTTAGGTTCCGACGTTTGTATTATTAATGGAGGACAATAATATCCATCGACATGATTAATCGTTGGAATTCAAACAGATTAAATAGGATAAAACTAGATAAAATTCGAATTTGAATATTATGGCTAATGAGCGGATATGATCTTTATATTATCCAACCAGAGCCCACCTGATTATAGATGTATATATATATTTTTCAATGAAACGTCATTCTATTTCTCAAAATATTCGACATTCGTAATACATATACAACATCCCAATAAATTCTTGCTCTTTTTTTTATTTCTCCTAAAATTGGTGGCTTATATTTATAATTTTTCATCTGTATAGTAGGAATATACTTTCTAATAGCAACACATTAGATTAATAATAAAAAGTTAGGGTGTGCCTACGGTGACATGCATGTCACGGTGACTTGCACTTTCCGGTCGACCTCAGTTAGGATTAGGTCGACCTCATATAGAATTCGGTCGACCTCATATAGGATCCGGTCGACCTCATTTAGGATTCGGTCGACCTCATATAGGATCCGGTCGACCTAATATGTTGTTTCAGTGTAAAAACAGTTCATGGTGCCTACTTTGGATATTCATATCATACAATTGGCTAGATGGAAATTGAAGACTAATGACTTGTTTTGAAGTTGGAGTGTCCCTCTACATATTGAAGTGATTGAGAGCTCGATAGGAAGTCCAGAAGACCATTTTTGAACCTCATCAAAAGGCTATGCCAAAACTGGGAAACTGCCTAGAAATGGCTAAGTCTGGAAACGTGTTTGTGAAGCCTATTTTTGAGCTCAATTCGAGAAGCATGAATGCGAGTCGAGTCCAGGAGCCTCTACCACGTTAAATTAGGTATGTTTTTATACAAATTCAAGGAATTGGATGAAAGATTGGATATCTTTAAGGCTTCAAACAAAAGGGTCGAAGTTGCTACGAAGGCTGTTTTTCTGGCAGACTTCGAGCACAAGCAAGCTGCCAGAAAAACAGCCTTCGTAGCAACTTCGAGCCTTTTGTTTGAAGCCTTAAAGATATTCAATCTTTCATTCAATGCCTTGCCTTTGTATAAAAAAATACGTAATTTAACGTGGTAAAGGCCCCTGGACTTGACTCGCATCCATGCTTGTCAAATTGAGCTCCAAAGTAGGCTTGACAAAAACGTTGCCAGACTTAGCCATTTTCAGGCAGTTTCTCAGTTTTGGCATAGCCTTTTGGTCAGGTTCAAAAATGGTCTTCTGGACTTTCTATTGAGCTCCCAAGTACTTTAATGTGTAGAGGGACACTTCAGCTTCAAAACAAGCCTTTAATCTCCAATTTCCATCTAGCCAATTGTAAGATATGAATCTCCAAAGTAGGCACCATGAAACTGTTTGTACACTGAAACAACTGATTAGGTCGACCTGATCCTATATGAGGTCGACCGAAAAGTGCATGTCACCGTGACATGCATGTCACCGTAGCAAAGTCCAAAAAGTTATTATCCATGGAACCGAGATCCAAACATATACAAGTATGATTTATATTTACTAACCGAATCTTGTACAAATATGAATACAAATAAAATTGGGTAAATACAATATATTATCCATAACTATTAAGTAGCGGGTAATTATAGCCACAACTATCGAAATATAAATTATTAGCCATAACTATTATTGTGGGTCAAGATTTGGCTAATAGCCCGTTACTGTTTTTCAAATTTTTAACGTAGAAGGCCATGTCAGCATCGTAAAAAATATGATATGATGACTGCCACGGGGGAGCCAGCTCACCATCGTAAAAGCTTAGTCATCATTACTAACAGAAGTGTAAATGAAAACTTAACGATTGACTAATAATTTGTATTTCGATAGTTGTGGCTATAATTCCCCGCTGCTTAATAGTTATGGCTAATATATTGTATTTTCCCAATAAAATTCAAACTAATTAGGATTGAGTAACATATATGCATTATCTGTCTCTCAACCGAGCTGTTGCCCATCCTTATAAGCATCTGTCAAGAACCAGTTGATCCTAATAACTTGAGTTGTTGGGAGAGTTTCCATAATGGATTTTATGCCGCACACTAGCACGCCCCCTCAAATGAAGTTTTCACATGTCCGATACCATGTGCTTAACAAATGAGGGTTGTGGGAATTCGAACACAAGATCTCTTAGTCAATGAAGAATTTGATACCATGTCAAGAACCAGTTAATCCCAATAACTCGAGTTGTTAAGAAAGGTTCCACAATGGATCTTATCTCACCATGATGGAGATTAACTTGTTTAACTTTTGCAACTCTCAAAAGGACTTGCATCATTATTAATTCCATCGAATGCACATATTGATTGGTGTAGTCAACTCAAGTATATTGAGGAGCACATAGGGGTGGGAAACGGTGCGGTTGCGATTAACTGCAACCGCAAAACACCCATATTAGCCAACCGCGAGCGCATCTCTCACGGTTAGCGGTTAACCAAAAACCGCATAACGCGGTTAGCGGTGAACCGCGGTTTATGGTTGTAAAAACCGCAACAACCGAAACAGTATACGAAATCGCGGTTAAGCAATCTAACCGACAATTAACCGCGAACTAACCGCAAAAAATTCATAAAAAAAACACAGCAGCTACTGTTTTGTCTATTTTCACTTCCATCAAGCCCCTGCATCTGTCTGCATATATCCAAATAACACAATCCACAAATGCACACGCCGGACGGTCGGGGACGTCGGCGGGCGGATGGCAGCGGCGCAGCGGGAAGATGGGAAGGGTCGAAGCTCGACTTGAAGGGTTTTCAGTTGCTGGTTGGAAGGGACGAAACGAAGGGTCGAAGGGGATTTTCGATTTTTGTTTCGTCAAATCAAAACGACGGCAGGGAGAAGTGGGGGAGGGGCCGGGTCGGGTTTGGGCTGCTGCCTGCTGGGCTGGGGGTCAACTTTGGGCTGGGCTGGGGGTCAATTATGGGTTGGGTCTGGGTCGCGGTTAGCCTTGCGGTTATATGGATTTGCGGTTTCGGTTGCGGTTAAACCGCAAACCGTAAAATAGGCAAAATATGCTGTTTGCGGTTAACCAATAACCGTGCGGTTTCGGTGCGGTTATCGGTTTAACCACGAAACTCCAACCGTTTTCCCAGCCCTAGGAGCACATACACTAAACGGCAATGTTTCGTGTAGTGGAGACTGGAGACTGGAGGCACGTCTGGATACCTTCCAAAAACAGGGCCGCCACCGTGTTGAAATTGCCTGAGAATTCCGTCTCCCTCTTGGATTCAGCATCGGCAGCCCATAAAATAATCCATACAATTTAGAATAGTGGCCCAACTAATAGAACTCTTTTTTGCTTCATGTTAGTTGAAGCCCATCAGTCCATTAACACGAGCATAGTAGGCCCACAAGTTTAGCCCATTTAGCAGACTGATTAGGAAAACCCAGACGTAGAGAAAGGAACAGACACTAGCAATGCTATGCAGGCAGCGTAATTGCCGCCCAAAACAATCCACAATTGAGGATTTCTGGCATCAGAACTAAGCTTGAGAATGATGAAGCAACCAAAAAACACTTCAATGCTATCCCCTGACAATGTTGCCATTAACTGGAAGACTTGGAGCGATTTATCTCCCAATGTCACAGAACTCCACAACCAAGTTGAGGATCCCAACCTGAATAAAGGTTAGCAATAAAAAATGCAGTGAAAAGCCTGTCCATGTTCAGGTCAGACATAAGTTACGAAATCCAGTTCTTACCAAGTTGACAGCCAAACGGATGAAAGTAAGAACCATTTCGTCGCTGTCTGTTCTGGTGTTCCCAACTACTGAGAATGCAAGACCAACAATATGGACATTTGGAACGGATATATCAGGTTTTCAGTTTTCACAAAATAGCTCGTGTATATGATTCCAAGATCAAAACCTATCTATCAGAAAGTGGCAAACTGCTGTTGAAGTTTCTCGGTAATGATACAAACAATCTTGTCCAAGCAGAATTGCAGAAAGCTAAACTTTGATTCTATCTGAACAAAGAAATGAATGATACAAGGAAGGAGGAAAACTACACTATTATACAGCTCAAGGGATGAAAAGGTTAACTAATGATCAGAGACACTCAGATGATTACCGAAGAGGTGAACTTTTCTATCAAATCGAAACAATAGATTGTGTGGTGGTGGGAGACCTAGCTAGCATCACCAGAACCAGCTACTGCGGCTATCAACTGCCTTGACTGTTGTGGATACTAAGGGCATTCGTCCAAACTCGGCTACAAATCTGTTGATACACTGACTTCTTCTGTCCTTATGACCACCCAAGCTACTGATCCCAGTCGAGCCGATCTCAAATATTTTACCTGCAATAGACACAAACTCAAGAGTATGAGGAATAACAAACAGATATTCATCCAACATCTTTTGATAAGAAGGTGTTTCAATTGACCACATGATCCAAATTGCAGGAAGTCACTATATAGCACAAAAGCACAATCTAAGACTTGTTTGAAGCCCATTATCCAATGTCACACTTCGTCTTTTTTTTTTTTTTTTTTTTTTGATGAATCACTTCGTCTTCATTGTTCATTGCAGAAAAGAAAAGTAATCACCTCTCTAAAAGTATCAGGCTGAATTAGTTCCGTTTGGTTCAATCAGGTGGAGGTTTATTGGAGAAGTCGTCAACTTGTGCAAGTAGTAGAACAACAAGAGTAAATAGTAAAAGTGAAAGTGTGCGGAGAAACAATCATAATAAGAGCATGATTGTGGAATGGATAAGTGGTCCCAGATTTAGATTTTAAATGTAGAAAATGGGAAAGATGCATTTGATACAGAAGCTGGCTATTAGATCAACTGGACGCACCAACCGATTGAATCAATTGGAGTTGATCTAAGGTTCTCAAACAACGAAATCAAATCAAGAACCTTAAGAAAATGGATAGCATATAAGTTCATCAATGTCAGACAAATAACATACCCTTCACCCATACAGGTGGCGCATCAGTTGCATTTGCAACCAGAAAGGACATAGCAATATCTTCACAGTTCCTGTCAAATTCCATTTCAAGATCAGTGGGGAACAATTTTAGCAAAATGCACGGAGAAAACCAATCACACAGACTAATTGGGAAGCACCTGTTCTTGGTTATATAGTCCTTGAGTGATGCTGGCATCTCATTTGTGTACAACCTGAGATACTTTTTGTGGAAAAATGCAGCTTTCGAGAGAACCATGCTGTAAGTACCCGTCCACCAAACAGACCACCATCCACCATAGCTATAGTATTTATTATTGTCATGCTGCATGATGATCAGAGATCTACAGAGCTTTAGAATCTTCAGATTATGTCTACACCCAGATTTTATATCGGAAAGAGAAATAACCAAACAGCAAAATCCCTTCCCACATTTCAGCTATTTTCATACTTCATGCTTTATGAATTAAGCCCCATCACACTTAAAGATACTGTTTATGGAAAATTACTGGTTCATATTCTAGATGGAAGACTGCAAGACAGCATCTAGGCACCATGCATATTAGTCAAGTACAACATTGAAGAAAATTATTATGGATGCCCAACTAGTTCCTCCGGCGAAATTGTTAAGAGATTGACCAATTTTATAGCTTAAAGCAAGCGACTTTTTTCCATGCAGATGAAACATACACAATTGACTCCTACAAGAATATTAATCAAGCATGATAAGCATCACTAATTGACTTCAACCAGAAATGTCATACCGATTGCTCCAGCCAATGGGCACGTGGCACAAAGCCCACCATGTTATCTGGCGCACTTTGCCATACATGGAAAGCAAACTCCACGGATGAGCATGGAAAAATGACATCATCATCAATTGAGAAGACAGCATCTGTCTTCAAATCTTTGATCTCTTTGAATCTATTGTTTAAACTGTCTTCCTTGTTGATGTCAAATTTCAATTCGACTTGCCTTGGCCCTCTCGACTTTGACTGAAGGATATGGTTTAGATGTGCAACAAGAGACTCAGAAGGAGGATCAGGTTCACTCCACACGATGTGTATTGAATCGAGTTCTGAACATGATGCATAATGAGCAATTGATTGCTTTAACAAATCATATCTTTTCCAAGTATTCATTACAATAGCATAACCTTTCCTGCATACAAAATGGAAATTAAGATGTTAATTATTAGGAGCCATATATGCTAAAACTCATAGCAAGGTGGTAAAAACACGATCCACGAATTTCATACATATGGAAATATTCTGTTGATCTTCAAACGTGTTAAGTGTTCCCAAAGCTCAAGGCATCATAATTACGTGATGAAGAACACTATTAAACTATAGCCTAATCAAACCGTTCAAACATGTTTTAGATTCCTAACGACCGTAAGAACAAAAAGGGACATTTCCCCCCTGCAGAAATACCAAAGTAACCAACAAACAGTTCTATCCAAGAAAATGCAACAAATAAAACAGCAACACCATAGCAGCAAACAAGTTTTTTGCAAAGGCCCACTCCAATTATTTCAAATGTGTCTCAGGTATTGGAAAGCCATGATTTGTCTATTGCTACACCCTGTGTTATGGGAGCAATTGAAAATGGACAAACATATTATTCAAACTTGTTTCTCTAAAATAGCAATAACAGCAGAACAGATGATATAGGATACTCAAAGCCAGGTCTCTAGCCCAGGGGCTTATATATTCAACTAGAAAAGTTTAGCAAAGGATCCTCCAAATGTTTCATAAGGGATCCCAAAAATATTTTGCGAAACCAATCAAACCTAACCAAACTCGACCAGCAGGCAGCACGCTGTCACACAATTATTTCTCAGCGCTAATCTTTTGGCCTCGGCATTACCACACTGAAGGCAAACATTTTCCTTCGCAGAACCAAAGTAAGCAGCAAACACTTAATCCGAGCAAATCAATTGATTGAATAGCAACAAACTTCCAGCACAACTAAATGAGTGTCTTAGTACAGCCCATGCCGAGTATTTCAAAAATGGTTTCTGGCAACCACTTAAAAAGATACCTGTCTTATTCCCACTTCCCTTGTTTATTTGCCCTCGAATTAAATGGAGCAAAAATAAGGCACTCAAAGAAAATCTTTATACAATGCTCTTACATTCAACTCAAATGGTTGAGGAAGCAAATATTCACCCAGAATTCTCATAAAGGATAGCATTTCTACTCTACCAAACCAGTCAGAACTTTATCAAGTTACCATTTGGCGCTATTGCTTCCATTCGATCCAAATTACTACCATTCAACTAAAAGACTTGAACCCAGCTCATGGAACTGGTGGAACCCCCTGACTGGAAAGAATAAGGAAAGGGAACTAGCTTTCCATCCACTAACAACAAAACTTGAGAAGAAATAGCAAAGGCACTTTCCTGCTAATACAAAAGCAAATAAATTCCTAATTTCTTTGTTTTGAATGATTTACAGCAAGCCTTTCCTAATTCAAGCAATCATCGTCCCTAAAATCGGATATTAAAATCGAGTTAATGGATTAGTTCACCAAACCTGGAGCGAGTCGAGTTCAGTAACTTCCAAAATTAGCGTTTAAGCAAAGCAGGAACAGCCACGAAAAGGGGAGCGAAAACAATTTGTTTATAAACAAACTTCCTTAAGAAGAAAGAACCATAAGAAAGCAGGCCATTAATCGCACTAACCCTGGCGCTTGGAGCCGATCATCGGGAGCAGAGAGATTGCTCCATCCCATGAACTTGGACGCCCAGCCTGGGAGCGCCAGCAGCGTGAAAGCGATGCAGCAGAAGAGCAGGATCTTGATCTTCGCCGATCCGGTGGCTGTAACGGCCAGTTGCCGGAATCTCTGCAATCCACGGCGGTTCATCAGCAAGCTGCCTCTCATCGACGCCAGCGTTTACCGGCTTCAGCCTCACCAAATTCGCACGCCTATCCCCGTCTAGATCCAAAACGGACACTGAGAGTCAATGAATCGCCGCGCGGCCGATCCGGACCGAGCCACCGCGCGACAGATTCATCCGTTTCGAACTGAAACGGTTGAGAGCTCCTCGCCGCCGGCAGAGGAGTAGGCAATCCGATGAGAAGGCGGCGGAGACAGGAGTGTCCACGTGGCTCGATTCACTGTCCGAACGACCGCCCGCGTAACTTGTGAAACTGAATTGCCGTTGTTCTTCTTCTCCTCTTCCTTCAGCTCGTATCCTCTTCTTACTACTTCACCTTCACATTTTTTTGTTTCTTTTTCTGTTCCCTTTTTTATTCTTTACTTTATTGTGTCTTGGTATCTTACAATATATTAAAAGGGTTTGTAAAACCGACCCATGCCACATCAGCCGTCTACGCTTCCCCGCATGTTTCGGAATTACCTTTCATTTTTTTTCTTCTTTTTCTCTCATACCACCTACGTCGCCCACTTCAAATTTTAAATGTGTTTTATTTTTATTTTTCCTTCCCCTTTGTAATGGGTTACTGACTTGCTGTTGTCCCGACTCGAGCATATACAAATTAGAACCATTTCCAAACTCCTTTTCTTTTATGATATGGCATAAGGGATAACCGATATTTAAATACATCTATAAAATATTGTCAAAATGTATGGATAATTATACGATTTTTAATAAGGGAGTTAGATAAATTAATTATAAATTTTTTTACACTATATGTATATATACATGTTTTTACAAGAATTAAAAAATCGTAGCATACTGGCGGTTCGACCAGAAAAATCTCCTACAAGATGCTAATTCAGTGGGTGGTTTTTAGCGGTATAAAACGGTTGAACCACAGTTTTAGTATAAAATACTCTACCACATAATTTTTCGGTACAATCTGTAGTACGGTTTTTCAATCATTGATTTTTTAATATATTAAATTCAATATATTATCATATTAAAATAGTGAAAAATTGATTTGAATAAATTATCGGAACATTTTCACTATTTTGAAATAATAATAAGATAAAGCATATGCTAACCTTACTAAACGCTCATTGAGTTCTTATATTTAGAACATAAATTAACCGGAGTTTGGAACATAATACTCTATCGTAATCTCTAATGGTAAACCTCAATTCCTAATTCTCTAACACAAACCATTAAATTGATTAATCTAAAAATAATAATTGATCATTGTGATTCGTTGAAACATATTAAAGTATACTTAATAGGTATGAACACATATACAACCTACGTCAGCCATTAGCTAGAATTTGCTATACTATCACATATATTCATAAATTACATAAAATGAGATTATACTATAATAAAATATAAATATAAATGCCTCCTGCCCAAAGGGCAGGGTGGAAGCTAGTTATTGGGTTTACTGCTTTTCCTTATGGGAGTTCTTTTTAAATTATTTTTTGAGGAAGGAGCCAAGCGTTGGGAGAATGCGCTTGTAGGCTACGATTTTATGTAATTTATGAATATATGTGATAGTATAGCAAATTCTAGCTAATGGCTGACGTAGGTTGTATATGTGTTCATACCTATTAAGTATACTTTAATATGTTTCAACGAATCACAATGATCAATTATTATTTTTAGATTAATCAATTTAATGGTTTGTGTTAGAGAATTAGGAATTGAGGTTTACCATTAGAGATTACGATAGAGTATTATGTTCCAAACTCCGGTTAATTTATGTTCTAAATATAAGAACTCAATGAGCGTTTAGTAAGGTTAGCATATGCTTTATCTTATTATTATTTCAAAATAGTGAAAATGTTCCGATAATTTATTCAAATCAATTTTTCACTATTTTAATATGATAATATATTGAATTTAATATATTAAAAAATCAATGATTGAAAAACCGTACTACAGATTGTACCGAAAAATTATGTGGTAGAGTATTTTATACTAAAACTGTGGTTCAACCGTTTTATACCGCTAAAAACCACCCACTGAATTAGCATCTTGTAGGAGATTTTTCTGGTCGAACCGCCAGTATGCTACGATTTTTTAATTCTTGTAAAAACATGTATATATACATATAGTGTAAAAAAATTTATAATTAATTTATCTAACTCCCTTATTAAAAATCGTATAATTATCCATACATTTTGACAATATTTTATAGATGTATTTAAATATCGGTTATCCCTTATGCCATATCATAAAAGAAAAGGAGTTTGGAAATGGTTCTAATTTGTATATGCTCGAGTCGGGACAACAGCAAGTCAGTAACCCATTACAAAGGGGAAGGAAAAATAAAAATAAAACACATTTAAAATTTGAAGTGGGCGACGTAGGTGGTATGAGAGAAAAAGAAGAAAAAAAATGAAAGGTAATTCCGAAACATGCGGGGAAGCGTAGACGGCTGATGTGGCATGGGTCGGTTTTACAAACCCTTTTAATATATAATAATAAAGTCAGCTAGTGTATATTGGATTGAATTTCGCATAATACTCTTTTTTTAGACAAAATCTCTACATTTCCAGTGAACTCATGGTGTATTGTTTATTTTGAAATAATTTCCAATTAATTATTTCCTTAATATGGAAAGAAGAAATGTGAAATGAACCCTAGAAGAAAAGAAGAAACAAGAGAAAAATTGAAAATGGAGATTAGGATTTAGGTAGGAGTGAATATGAGATCGTTGTCTTTTCTTTTCCGAGCCACTTAAAATGTATTCGTTGGGCTTCAGTGGATGACGAACCCAAATTTCTTTTTAATGGAAACAGATCTAGCCCAAAGCAGATTTGTGGCCCACGTGGTTCACATATTGTGTGTGTCAAGATCACACTATGAGTATTCATTAAAGGGTTATAGTTATAATATGCCTATCTACTATGACGTTTTATCAAACATGTCACTCTACTATTTTTTACATCAAATATGCCCATGTACTTTGAAACAATTATCAAACATGCTCTTATGTTAAAATTTTCATTGAAAAAATCGTCAATCATGGTTGAATTGAGATTTAGACGACCCGACATCGGCAAATGGGAGGGAAAATGTCAGTTTTGTCCCCTGTTTTATTTCCCTAGGTCTTTTCAAAGTGAAATTATTTGAATGATTTGATTATACAAAAGAACCAAAAAAATTCTAAAGTGAATTTATTAGGGATATTTTAGTCATTTGTGTCGCCCAAACTAAAGTTCGGCCTTGGTTAACGGTTTTTGGATGAAAATTTTAACAAAAGGGCATGTTTGATCATTTTTACAAAGTACAGGGACATGTTTGTAGTAAAAAATAGTAGAGAGACATGTTTGATAAAACGTCATAGTAGAAGGGCATATTATACCTATAACCCTTCATTAAAGGTATCTTAAAAGCCAACATTGCATAACTGAGTTGTGCCATAAGTAACAAAGTTGACCAAACTTCCTTAGCCCCCCAACAGACAAAACTTCACCCAATCGTTCAAACCCGCAAAGCCTTATATTTTCGACCCTCTCACCATGATTTTGATTAGCATTGGGTCATAATGTTTCATCAAGTTCTTAAAAGTTAAAACAATAATCAATTACTTCTTTTTCCGATAATGGAACGTATGAAAGTATTGTTGAGTACGTAAGTGTCTGAATATAAACTACTCTCGAATCTCGATCATTTGTAAAGCAATTCGAAGAAAAATCATTAAGACAAAAAGTCTTATCTTCAAAAAGTTTCAAAATTAAATTATCATTCACGATTCCTCTTTTTAATTTATAAAAAGGAACACATTATTAGACATTAGTTATTACTTCAACAATAACACTAGACAAAGTGTCATATCGAAGTGCTTACATTTGATAAAAGCTTACAACCACTAGAAAGTAGGAAACTATTACACATTGCGCTTAGAGGCTCGACCAATTATTACATTCGAAAATCATTACTACAGATCAGCTTCTACATACATATTCTCCTACCGGCGGAGCCTTCAAAGATTCAACGATGAGTTCAGGACCGGAACCAGAGAAAGAGGTGTCTCCCTACGAAGAACCACAGAGCTCCACTCGCTCATATCCAACTCCTCCACCCCTTCCGGCAATTCCCAATCGAACCAGCACAACAAATTGGCCGCCACCAGCCCCACCTCCAGAATCCCCATCGTTATCCCAGGGCACAACCGCCTCCCGACACCAAACGGCAGAAACTTCCCCGTCTGACCCTTGAAATCCAACGGCTCAGCCCAAAACCTCTCCGGCACAAACTCCTCCGCCCTATCCCAGATCTCGGGATCCCTCATGATCGCCCACACGTTGATCATCACCATCGTCCCTTTCGGAACGTCGTACCCTTTCAGCTCCGCATCATCCGTCGCCTTCCTCACCGACATCGGCGCAGGAGGGTGCAGCCTCATACTCTCCTTCACCACACACTGCAAGTACTCCATCCGGCCGACGTCCTCCTCGTCGATTCGCGACTTCATCCGAGCCACCTCCCGCACTTCCTCCTGCGCCCGCTTCATCGCGGAAGGATGCCTCACCAGCTCCGACACCACCCACTGCAGCGTCGTCGCGATGGTGTCGGTCCCTCCCGCGAACATGTCCAGGAGGATGGCCTTGATGTTCGCGTCGGTGAATTTTAAGTCCAACACTACTACTTCTGCTGCTCTCTCCTTCTGAACTCTCAGCAGGATGTCCACCACGTCCTGCCTCTCCGACGACGACCGAACACGATCCGTTCGGTGGTCGTCGATGACCCGGTCCAGGAAGTCGTTGACTTCCTGGGCCACCCGTCTGATCTCGTTGTCCAGCCCGGTCAACGCGTCGACCCATCCCAAAACAGGGAACGTATCCTTGAAGCAGAATCGCGCCAGAAGGTCCAGCGCGCTGCTCACCAGCGGGACGAAGTTCTCTTCGTCCCCGCCGCCACCGTTATTGTACGTTTTGCCGAAGGCGGCTCTGGAGATGACGTTGTTGGCGAAGGTGGAGATGACGTGGCTGAGATCCACCGATTTTTTCTCCTTCGCCGCGTCTTTAAGAATGCCCACCAGGTGTTCGACCTCTTGCTCGCGGATGTAGCGGAACTGGCTCACCCTCTTCTGGCTGAGCACTTCGACCATGCAGATTTTCTTCATCTGGCGCCAGTACTCGCCGTAGGAGGAGAAGATGATGTCGGTGCCGCCGCCGAAGAGGGCGTCCGAGGCCTTCCACCGGGGCCTTCCCGAGAAGCTGACGTCGTGGTCCTTGTCGGTGAGCTCCAGGACGGCGTCGGGGGAGGAGACGATGACGTAAGGGATGGCGCCGAGTTTGACCATCATGATGGGGCCGTAGGTTTTGGAGAGGGTGCGGAGGGAGCGGTAGGGGAGCTTGCTCATCTGGAAGAGGTTTCCGACCAGTGGCAGGGACGGCGGAGATGGCGGCAGGTTGAGCTTACGGCGGTTGTTGACGGGGTTCGTGATCTTCCGCAGCAGGTAGAAAGCTGCGGAGGAGAGGA